GGTTTGTTTTTTTTTTTTTTTTTTTTTTTGGGCTAATGGTATGTAGAATGTTAGCATATTAGCAAGATATATTATCACATATTGGACACAATGAAACTAAAAAGTGTTGTTTGGACTCGTGAGATTTATTATGAATTCCATTTTCATGATTCAAAGTTTGTTTGTTGTATTTTTTTTTTTTTTTGTGTATTTGTAGGGGTTCTGAAAATTGATACCCTAAGATTGTTATCTAAGGTATTTAGTTAGAATAATTATTATATTGAATCCTAATTAAACTAATTTATAAACAACAAATATTGAACACTCACAAAATTATCATTCTTAATAGGGTCTTTGTTAGTGATAGGATTTGGTTAATTTAAATCTAATTAATTAATTTACTTATTTATTTTCTTTCAAGAATAATTTAAATTTGGGTTTTCACAGTTAAACACTATGTCTCTTTGTGAATCATACATTGATTTACATCCGTCTTCTACTTCCAACAATGGTATCAGAGCATACCACCAACAATGATATTAGAGTATACCACCAATAGTGGTATCAAAGTTTATAAAGAAAATTGTCATAATTTCCACCAACAGTGGTATCAAAGTTTATAAAAAAAATTGTCATAGCATGCCACCTACAGTGGTATCAAAGCATATCACATGATTTTGAGATACCATATGGCAAGCCACATGTTTTGGAAATATCACATGTGTAATGACCCAGAATTTTTTTTTTTAAAATAGCTAGTGCATAACTTAACTGTGTAAATTCTGTGTAAAAATAGTTCGATTTTTTATTTTTTAAAAATAGTTTCCGATCTCAGAAAATTATGAAATTTTTATATGTTGTTCCCATATGAGTCTAGCACGTTGGATAAAAATTTCAGAATTAAATGATGAGTATTTATTTTATGAAAATTCACACTCTAATTGGTGTTCAGTTTAATTTATAGCATAATTTGAAATTGAGTTTTTGGTGTTCGAATCAGGATTTGAGATAAATTTGTTGGGATTATTTTGGTATATAATTAGACCATATTTGACTTATGGGTGAGACCCATGATTTAGATTTGATTCAATTTGAGTTTGTTTAATGACTTATGTTTAATTGTTTGGCCTTTTTTAATTAGGTGATTGGGAGTAACTATTTTAGGAGTTGTTATTGTTTATTATATACGATTATAATAAATATTTGATAGTTGATTTATGGTATGTACCATATGGCGAAAAATTATATATTTTATAAAGAATGAAAATGTGTACATTTCGTAGTGATCAAAATATTTTATTTTGTGGTGTACAAAAATATTATATTTTGTGATGAGAAAAATTATATCATTTTATAATTTATATTATAAAATTTTGAGGTATTATTACAAAAATTATATTTTTGGAAAAAATCAAACTTTGGGAAACAAACCCATGTGAGTGGCCCCCTTTTTTGTCCTTGCCATCATTTCCCCTTCCTTTCCATTCCATTTCATTTGTTTGGCTTGGGTTTAGTAGAGACTCTCCCTGTGCGTCTCTCTCCCTCTTTCTTTATTCTTCATTGTTGCTCAATCTTTGAGTTTCAAATGGGAGTCCTTAGAGTGAGATTTTGTAAAAGTTTTGTAAATGAAAGTTGGAGAGCTCGCCGTGATGTTCGCAATGGTGATCTCGGATTCATGATCGGGCGAAGTTTGCATTTGTAGATTTGTTTTTTTTCATATTTGAGGTAGGGACTTTCTTCATATTTTTACATTAAAGTTATGTTAGGGTTATTTTGAGAAAATATGTCATTATAAGAGGTATTGCACATATATATTTTTTTCAAATTTTTGTTCAGTAATTTTTGGAAGAAAAATTAGGTTGAAGTGTTAAAAATATTGTTATTTTGTAATTGATTTGGAAAAATCATCTTATGTTGGAAATACTTGTTAAAAATCCGAAAATAAAATAAAATTAATAGTTGTATGAGTTTTATTTACCTTATATCATGGTTAGATAATTTATTTTGGGAAAATAATGTTGAAATATTTATCTCATCTTTGAGTTTTGGAATTTATTTTTGAGAATAAAAATAAATTGATGTTAAGGAATATGAAGTAAATGCTTAAGTATGAATTATAAAGTTGCTTCGGAATTAAAAACTCTAAAAGTGTTATATTTATGATATTTTATAAAAGATGATATGTTGATGATTAAGTTGTGTTCATTTTTTTTGAAAATAAAAATGGGAGATGTAGACTTTCAAACCCATAACCTTGAAAATGTTACTATTGGGCATATTTCATAATTTTTTATGTAAGTATCATGTTGGTTAAGTAATTTTAGAAAAAGTTACGAAATTATTATTGGTAGAGAATTTGGTAAAAATATTACCTCTTTAAATAACTTGGCATGAAAAATGGTTATGTTGAAATATAGTTATATTTGAGGGATGAGGCAGGTGAAGTTAGGTTTGGTATTATTAATTTGAAATTTTTTTAATATAATAAACTTACTAATTTAGTGGATTCAGTTAGTTTTGGTTAAAATGTTATATCCGTTATCGTTAAAAGTGTGTTATTAAGATTATACCATAACTTTTGACATAGTAGGATGGAAATGGTAATATTTAATAAGTAGGGATTTCCTTTGAGTTATATATATATTTTTGCAAGATCTAGATGATTTTTGAAATCATCCTTTGATTTGTTTTGAAAATTGATTGTTGATTCAAGAAGATGGAGGATTTTTTTAAAAGTGGGTTTACTTTTTTATTCCTTTTAAAATAGAAATTGAGGGTTTTGAACTATGAGTATTGAAGAGAGATGTTTTTGGTGACTTTCTTTCAATAAATGAAGATGAGTGGTTTTGGTGAGAAAACCTAGAAATTGGGGATTTTTAAGAAAGATGTTGACAATCTTTGAAGATGTTATATTTATTTTGTGTGCCAAAATAAATGATGTTTGAAAAATTGTTTATTTATTTACATATTGTAAGAATTTATGTATTATTGATTGATTTATGTTATTTATTACAAATGGTGAGGGGCTCCTTATATAGGAGATGTAGTGGAATAGGTGGTAGTAGGTGGTAGTGGTAGGTGTGTAGTAGGTGGTGGTAGGTGTAGTAGGTGGAGTAGGTGATGGTAGGTTTTAACAGCCCCCCGCAAACTCAAGGGGGATTGGAACTAACCAACTTGAGTTTGGAGAGAGTAACAAAACAAGAAAATAATCTGAAAAATAAAAAATGGATAAGAGACACTGTATGGTCGTGTCAGACCGTTGTAGAAGACTGTATGGTTATGGCAGACCGATGTAGAAGACACTGGCTCGTGTCGGACCGGTGTAGAAGACAGTTTACGGGGTCATGTCGGACCGTTGTAGTAGACAATGTTGTGACAGTTGTTGTGACAGTTTACGGAGTCTTGCTGGACCCTTGTAGAAACTAACCGGAATCAATGTCGGGACAGTTTACAGAGTCTTGTCGGACCCATATAAAAAGTCGCACCCTCAAAAGGTGTGCCCAATTTTTCAAAAAGGCGTGCCATCAAAATGCGTGCCCAATCCATAAAAAGGCGTGCCACCAAAAGGCGAGCCTATCAAAAGGAGCGCCCATGTTGTCGGCGAGCGCCGAGAGGCGCATGATGCGCGTGTCTGCCTCGGCTATTTAACCAAGGTTGAGGCGGAGGCTGTGCAAACCAGTCTGAAACCGCCGAAAATCCTTTGAAAAAAACTCTTCCGTTTCTGAGAAAGAGATTCTGGAACACTCTGTTGCCATTCTGTAACCAACCTTTCTCTGAAACACTCAGCAACCCATAACATGGCCTCGTCTTCCCGTTCAACTACCCAAAATATGGCCTCTTCGTCCCGTGGTCTGCTCACTCTCTTTCCCGACCTCAACGAGTCAACAAGAGAGATAAAGGGTGCGGTGGCCAGTGAACCTCAACCAAACACCTCCGGTTTTGCTCCGTTGAACTTTCCGATGCGGTCGGTGGAGCAAAAAATGGCGGTGCAAACTGATATTGAGGCCAATCAGTATACTCTGAAGTCATGTGTGGAAACCATGACTGCGGTCACAAACTTGTCGCACCGGCTTCAGAGTAGGACAAATGAGGTGCAACAGTTAAACGCCCAACTGGCTCTGCTCCAACGCATGTATAAGGATGCGCGAGCAGAGATATGTATGTTAAAGGTGGAAAATAAGGAGCTGAAGCGGAAAGCCACCGTTATGTTCCGATTTGGAGGTCCGCCATATGCTGCAATGGAGGAACAGGGGGGAGTGAATGTGCTCGGTGGAGTGGGAAACACGGAGGCAACACTGTCAAGGGCCGCCCAGGACGGAGGCAAGAAGAAGAGACCGGCGGCAGAGTAGAGAAGAAAAATCCTGCCGGTGGATGTGGTTGTTTGTGTATTTGTTTTGTTTTGTTTTGTTTTTTTTTTGGTTGTGGTGTAAAATGGTGATCGGGGTTGATCCCGGAGATGAATAAAATATGGGTGTTGTGCAAATTTGTAAAGTTTTTATTTTTTTTATTTTTGTTTTGTGTGTGCAAAGCTATATGGTATGAATGGAATTTGAAAAAGATTAAAAATAATGTGAAAGAAAAATAAAGAAAGAAATAATAAAAATATATTTGAAATCAAAATGAAAGATGGGGGAAATAAGGAAAGTGGTTTGGAGAAAATAAATAAAAATAATGGATTTTGAAATCAAACGGAGGAGAGAGAGGGGACAAGCCCATGTGAGGAAAAGAGGGGTTTAAAGAAAGTGAGGGAGTGGGTTGATTAAAAAAAAGGATTGTGGGTTTGATGATTCATTATTTTAATATATATATATATATATATATAAAATAAAGAAAGTTGGGAACAACATGATAAGGGTGTATTTTAAAATGATAAATAAAAGAAAGTGGAAGACAACATGATACGGGTGTGTATGGATGTGATAATGAGGGTGAAACAAATTTGGTGGGTCTGATTAAATAAATAAAAGAAGAATGGGTGTGTGTGTATGAAGCTCTGTGAGAGATAGAGAGATACGAGATACACCACAAGCTTCGTTATACAGATGAGGCATTAGTTTCTGCAGCTCAACTGTCATACCAGTACATTAGTGACCGCTTCCTGCCTGATAAAGCAATTGACTTGATTGATGAAGCTGGCTCTCGGGTTCGGCTCCGCCATGCGTAGCTCCCAGAGGAGGCCAAAGAGCTTAGGGCTCAGATCACGGCTCTTATCGACAAAGACAAAGAGATGAGCAAAGCAGAGACTGAAGCAGGGGACGGAGGTCCTGTGGTGACCATGGAGGTGGAGTCGCCAAGGAGGACGGACCCATGACCTTACCATTTATCATGGCTGTAACAGTTTCAGACTATGACTTAGATGAAGAGGCTAGTGAAAGCGTGAGCTGGTGGCGCAAGGCAGCAGCGGCAACGGTGTTGTAAATAAGTTGGGTAGTCAAATTCCCTCATCACCTGCATCGTGCTCACCAGAGGCAATGAAATTAATTGTTGCTCTAGTCGAAGAACAAAATATTCTAGAGGCAAATACTACACTTGCTGCTGGAGTTTCAGCATTTCTCTGGCTATACATCTCCATCCAAGGGTATAAACCTGCAAAGGTTGTTATCACTTCTGAGCTCCCACTTGGCTCTGGCTTGGGTTCGTCTGCAGCATTCTGTGTGTCAGTCTCAGCTGCCCTGCTTGCTTTGTCAGAATCTGTGAATCTTGATTTTGGTCATCAAGGTTGGTTAATGTTTGGAGAAAAAGAGCTGGAATTGGTGAACAAATGGGCTTTTGAAGGTGAAAAAATAATCCATGGGAAGCCGTCTGGTATTGACAACATAGTGAGGTACCGAGAGGGAGAGGGAGGTTTGAATTGGTTGAGATCCGGCGGGCAGTCAAGGCAAGGTTGCCGCCCGCCGGAAGGTGAAGAACACCAAAATCTTTAACCTATAGCTCTGATACCATGTAAGAATTTATGTATTATTGATTGATTTATGTTATTTATTACAAATGGTGAAGGGCTCCTTATATAGGAGATGTAGTGGAGTAGGTGGTAGTAGGTGGTAGTGGTAGGTGTGTAGTAGGTGGTAGTAGGTGGTGGTAGGTGTAGTAGGTGGAGTAGGTGATGGTAGGTTTTAACAGCCCCCCGCAAACTCAAGGGGGATTGGAAAATGATGGTTTTCATGGAATATGAGAATTGTTGAAGTTTTGAAAATTGTTGATCAAAATGTTGATATAGTCTTGAAGTGACTAAATGGTTGAGATTACTCTAAGTGTGGGAATTATGTTGTCCCATGGATGAATTGGAATAAAAGTATTTATATTCATCTTGAGAAATTATAATGAAATGAGAAATGAGAATTTTGATCACAATGAAAATAATGTATGGAAGTATTGAGAGTGGAAGAAATATTGCATTGTATTATTAATCATTGCGTTGGCATATCAATTCATTTGATAATGATGAACTTTGAAATTTGATTTAAAACCTTTGCATTGAGAAAGGAATGTTGGAAAACAAGTTTTCATGAAATGATTTTGGGGTAAATATGGTGGTAAGTCTTGAAAGGTGATGTAGATGAATTTGATTAAGTTAGCCTATGTGTCCTTGGTGAAAGACCAGAAAACCGCGAGGATAGGTGTTGAGCCTTCCAGTTAATACTGGTAAAAATGATAAATTGGTAGTACTTGTATAGTCTACTTGTAGACACCAGCCTAGGGATTACCTGAGTCGTATTTACCATCTTGAAATTTTATTGAAATTGTTGGATTAATGTGTTTTCAAATTGGCATTGTGCGTAAGATTTTTAGAAGATGAGAAAAATATTTTGAGCATGACATGGCATATGCATTCATCTCATAAGATTGTATAAAATGGATTTGATGAACTGTTTAATTATTTGATTCAATTGATAATGAGATAATTGAATGAATTGAAAAAGATGTCCTCTTACTATTGAAACATGTTTATTTACTTAAGTTAACTTGTTGTGGTTAATTAAATAAATTGGATTTAAGAGATTATGTAATTAAATCATATGGTTTTGACATGATTTTGTTTCACGTATATGTATGAGTATTTTGGTACCCGCATATCTTCTAATGTTTTAATATGAGATTTGCTTGGTGAGCTAGTGGTTGCTCACCCCCTGCCTGTACATGTGTACAGGGTATACTTTTCGGATTTGAAGATTAAACAATGGGTTTTACTATTTCATAAGTGTAATGTAGTGATGGATTGTACTATTTCATTTGTTGCTTGGCTGAGTGCTATTTTTTATAAAGAGTAGTGCCCTCTCTTTTATTGTAAGTCTCAGGGCATTTCTTTTATTTGTATGTAAATGTCATTGTTGTATAACGAGAGGGAATATGTATAATTATTCATCATTTCATCCAACGATGAAATGTTATTTGTAAATGAACTTAATTAATGAATATTGGTAATGTTATCTGAGTGATAAAATATGGGGTGTGACAACATGGCTAAGGCTTTCTTTTCTCTAAAATTCTAACTGAAATTTAGCATTCTCTCTACACTTCTCTTCCCAAAAATCCCTCTCTCCAAATTCAAGACTTGAGCTCTCATTATATAGGCAATACTAGTGGAGCAATGGTGGAAGACAAAGTGTAGCATTTAGGGAAGATAATAGAGCTAATGAGGGCATTATAGAGCTAATGGGAGACAATGTATAATGGAGGTGGATGGTGAGTGGTGATGGTGCTGTGTGATTAGCAAAATAGATGATAAGTGGAGATGATAGGGTGTGATTATGAAAGTGGATGGTGAGTGGGGATTGATATGTATGAAATTTGGTAGGGGAGATTGAAGAGCCAATATTCTTTTAGTACTAGAGATTGGTGAATTTTGTATGAAAAATAATTTGGCCAAGAACGTGTGAAGGTTGAGATTAAAGCTCAAATTTCATCTCTCTTACTGAGAATTCTGTAAAAAACACATTTTGATTGTCATCATCAGGTAAGAAAAAGAAAGTACCTAAGTCTTACATATATATATAAGATGATAGGGTGTGATTATGAAAGTGGATGGTGAGTGGGGATTGATATGTATGAAATTTGGTAGGGGAGATTGAAGAGCCAATATTCTTTTAGTACTAGAGATTGGTGAATTTTGTATGAAAAATAATTTGGCCAAAAACGTGTGAAGGTTGAGATTAAAGCTCAAATTTCATCTCTCTTACTGAGAATTCTGTAAAAAACACATTTTGATTGTCATCATCAGGTAATAAAAAGAAAGTACCTAAGTCTTACATATATATATATATATATAGTTGAGAGAGAAGGGCGTGTGAGGCAAGGGTTGCCTCTCTTTCTTTCTCATTTCATTTTTCTTTCTTTTTCTTTGAGTGACAGACCACCCTCCACCATTTTCTTGTTTTTATTTTTTTATTTAAATTATTTTATAATATATAGAATATAATATATAAATGTTTAATATATATTATTTACTCTAATTCATGTACAAACACCTAAAATATATACTAACACACAAAAAATCGCATATAACTATAAAATAATACAAATTAATGGACTAATAAAATGTATGTTGATGGGCCAAATGTGTAACATTTAGGCTCCAATCAAAATCGAACCACGTTGGAGAAGTTTGTGCATTGTAGGCTGTATGGTAGACAACACGGTTTGCAAAGTAGTATAGGAGATGCTTGCCTCCTTTTCAGGCGTTGAATTGGACTGTGTTGTTCGGCTTGTGGGTCCCGTTTTACTAATCGGAACTGTTCAATGTGTATAACTCATCGAGTACTAAATGCTTGTAAAAAATCACGTTGATCGGATATCGATAGCTATTTGATCGGATTTATTTTTTGTCAACCGTTCACTATAACACCATCCATTTTTTATACAAAACTGATTTGATCATGTAGTTAGAAATATCCGATCAACGTGATTTTTTACAAGTATATAGTACTCGACGAGTCTACACATTGAACAGTTCAGATTATCAAAACGGGACCAATGATGGGCCCCCATGGGCCGAACAACACTATTTCGGGTTAATTTTTTCGTGCACCCCGCGTTGTAAATTTGTACCACTGACTATCACTTCAATATGTATGGCTTGTACTTGGCCATCACTGATATCACTTCACCACTGTGTATTGTGCTTGGCGCCTATGTAATTTGTTTTATATATATATATATATATTTGATGAATAGTGATAACTTTTTAGTTTTTTTAGCTTATAAGAAGGAAACAAAGAGAAAAAGAAAAGAATGAGAGTAACAGCAAAGCTGAGAAAGAGAGACGGAGTGGAGAAGAAAAAAGGACTAGGGTTTTGTTTTGATGGCTCCATTAGTTCTTCAAATAATTTCTTTGATCTTCAAAAAAATAATTGTGAGTACAAAACTCACTTCCCTTGATTTATGTTTAATTCGTTGTTTTTATTTATTTATTTGATGTTAGTTTGATTTTGTATTTACATGAAGATGGTGGATTGATTTTAATTACTTTGATTAGTTGTGTATGCAATGTTTAGGATTTTTATATAGATTTATTTTATGGTTGTAATCACACTCATGATTATATGAAATTAAAATAAATTAGGAACTCATAGATAAATTCCTTACACTCCACCATGACTCCATGTATTGTTATTTTATTTGAGTGTTGGTGAGAAAGAGAGTATAAAAAAAAGAGTAAGGATTATGAGATTTATTTGAATGCCTTAGGCTTGGCATCGTTATGTTTGTTCTCATGAGTAGATGAGAGATTGTGGATATATATTGTTGCCTCGTTCTCATGGGTAGACAAGTTCTTTGATTTACGCGTGTATGTATATGCGAACCATCCGGGAAGTGTGAGTCAAACTCATGACGGTATCCCCGTGCAAGTTTGGCTTCAGAGCGGTGTTAGGTATACGGGAAGCACATGGAATATATGTGTAGGCCGAAAGTGGAGGCCGAAGTGGTGGAGTTAAGGTACAAAGAATTAAATATGAGTTTATTATTATAGTATATGAATTGTATTGATTTGTATATTTTGAAAAATAGTAAACGACCTCGATAAATTATGAAATTTGAGCAGAGGCATGTATACATGATTCTAGACAACTTTTGTGTTTTAACTTTTTACTAAAAAGATTGATTAGAACTTGTAATCGGATGATCTTTGTTTCAATAGTTTTTATTTATTTTAGTATTACAGATTTTAGATACTGTTTTAACCCACAAAACGAGCTCATTTTTATTGGTTTCGTGTAAACCAAAGTAAAACATTATTCTAAACACTTTTCATGTTTTGAACTTTTTCAAAAAAAAAATCATCTTAGGGCAGTTTCTTTTCGTTTTCAACTTTAGATTTTTCAGTGGAATTCCGTCTAGGTTCTTCTATCAAGTTTTTCTCTCAACTTGTTTAGTTTCTATAAAATTTGTTTGCGTGGCCACTTATAAAATTTGATTCCGTACAACTTTTGTTCTTTAAGTTTTGGTCAATTCAAATTATTTAAGTATGAAACATGACATTTTTATACTTCTTCAGCAAGTTACTCACGATTAAATTATACTAACTTCATTTCTTGCAGAATGGTGGGTCTTACTAACTTTTTATGCAGGGCTAACCCACCATATTTTTATTTCTATTTTGTTTATTTTATATTCAATTTATATTTCGTTGTGTACGGGTAAGAAACTAAATGCCATCGTATCTCGAGAAACTACCAATTCGTCTCGGTGCAAATGGAACTACTTGTCTTGTCCCGTAACAAGAATTAAAAGTATTTTTGTTTGTGTTTGGTGGACACGTGGGTGTTAAATCTTGTACTCATACCAGTGTAGTTGTATACTGACCCGTTTTGTCTCTTGGAAACTCGGGTGCGTTCTGTTTGAGCGTAGCCGAGCTTCCTTTGCAGGATTAGTTGGGACTATGGTGGTGAGAAGAAATAACTATGATCGTAGGACATATCTTTTGGACTTCTTTTGATTTTCTTGAGCTTAGGGTT